GAGGCCGCTGTTTCTACAGACAAGGCTGCTGTTGTTTCGTCTCATGCGGATGTTGGTCAGGCCGTCAAGATTTTCCTCGGTCAGCACGGCGGCCCGTCCGCTGACGCGAGGACCTCGATCGATCTCGGAGTTGACGACGGTGCTGGACAGGCTCGTCGTATAGGAGGTCGTGGTAAGAAGGCCAAGAGCAGGCATCGGTCGTACAGGTCCGTCGTCGTACAGGACCGCTGGCATCGGTGGGCTACGGCTCCGAAGTTTATGGTGTATCTGATTGCGAATTGGGTCTGCTTCGAGCTGGGTTCGGGAAATCCGTCAATCCGTCCGCGGGATCCAGGTCGCTTACGTCGCTCTGCATTCTGGAGGGGGGCCCTGTTTATCACGCTGCCATTTCGCCCATTGCCAGATGCTCCAGGGAGCCGCGGGGCGCCCAAGTTCAGCAGACTCCATTCGCTTTAGATTTCGCCGTTCTCAAAGACGCCTGGCAACACATCTGGTCCAGGCCACCGTCTACGTGGCATGTGCGTGTCTCTCAGCCGCATAGGGTGGACCATGCCCAACTACGCGCAGTTGGTGAGCGATTTCGGTGTGTCCTACTCCCTCACCACCTCGCCCCCTGAGCTGATCAAGCATATGTTGCGTGAGGGCGTGGTCCGACAGCTGTGTCGTCTGTCGGGCGAGAAGCTCGGGCTCGGTGCCAAGCTGTGCTATGATTCTGTGATCCGCGACCTCAGCAGTTCCAAGTTTACGCCGTTTGAGAAGGGCTCGATAAGGGCCAATGTGTGCGGGGCCTGCTGGGCCAAAAAGAGAGAGCTGCCCAATGTGGTTACCAACTCCAGGACACGTGCTGTGCTCTGTGCCAGGGGCCCTCGGACTCGGTATTTCATCGGCTTTGGGTTTGTCCTGATCCAGAGGTCGCGGGGCTCAGACAGGAAATTGTTGACAGTGCTGTTTTGCAGGCCGCTCAGGAGCTCGACCCCGCATCGTGTTCCATGGAAGATTGGCTCCTCTTCACCGAGGGCCTCTTCACTCACCCGGGCGATGATCACCCTCGCCCTGTTCTGGGGGTCGCCCCCACGGTCGTCTGGGAGGGCGACCCTGAGCACCCCGACGAGCAGCTGTTTTCTGGGGGTTCAGTATTCATGGACGGGTCTTGTGAGAAACATGTAGTTCAGGAATTAAGCAGGGCAGGTTGGGGCTTAGCGGTTTATGACTCTCAACAAGTTTTGAAGCTCCGTATGTGGTCCCCCTTTGGGATTGTTTCCCCCAGACCCCACAGGCGGTGGAATTCGGGACTCTTGCCTGCGCGTGTCTCTGCCTCACGGACCCTCGCGTAAGGTTCTCGGGTTGTCTCAATGTTTGTAGGGCCTTCAAGTTCGACCGTTCTAAGATGCTGTCGTACAAAAGGCCTTGCGCGGGCCTCATGATTAATGCCCTGGGGTCCCGTTTTTCTGACGTGTTGAAGGTTAAGGCCCACGTGGCCGACTCGGAGGGCCTTTCCCCCGAAGGGCGTTTCTTTAAAACTGGTAATGGCGAGGCTGGTCGCTCAGCCAAGCTTGGGGCCGCGGCGCACCCCAAGCCTTCTCCTTCGCAAGTTGACAAGTTGCAGTGGCAGCTCAAGGTTTCCCGAATGGTCTCGCGTCTGGCCGCCAAGGTGTTCGTTTCTTGGCCGCGCCTGGACCTGTCTGATGTACGAGGCGCCCGACGGGGTGCACAGATCGGTGTGGGTCAAAACGTTTTGGATGTGCAATCGATGTCTCAGATTTCGTCGGCAGGCAGCGCGCCCCGCTGATGAGGGCTGCGCTGGTGACTTGCCCCCAGTTGCGCGTTCTGTTGTTGATCGTGGCCACTCCTGCCTAGCCTTGGAGTGTGCCAACGATCAAATTTTGATCATATGCACCCGCTGCAAAGCGTCTTCGACCCTCGGACAATTGAAGCAGCTCCGCAATGAGTGCACACGTCCACTCGCCAAAGCGGCGGAGTATTGGTCCAGGGTCAAGCGGGGCTGGCATCCGAAGGAGAAGCTTCGGGTGGAAGCGGTCCCCATCAGAGAGTGAGGAGCTGGTGGGGCAGGGCGTTCGTCAAAAACCTCCTCCTCCTCCTCCTCCTACTCTCCTCCTCCCCCTCATCCTTCCCTTCCTTCTCCTCCTCCTGCTGCTCCTCCTCCTCCATTCATTCATCCTCTTCCTCCTCCTCCTCCTCCTCCTCCTCCTCTCCTCCTCCTCCTCCTTTTCCTCCACCTCCTCCCCGTTCTCCTCCTCCTCCTCCTCCTCCTCCACCTCCTCCCCGTTCTCCTCCTCATCCTCCTCGAGCCGGGGCTTCCTGGGCGTCCCGACGCCATCCCCAAGCGACCCCACGAGAGCTCTGTTCTTAGGACCCCCCACGCGACAATTTCTCGCCCTAGGGCTCACCTCCCGCGTGGGGCTGTGCGCGTGATGGCGAGGGCGCCGCTTCAATAGGGGACATATTTTTTTGGGGGGGGACGGAGACGCGGAAGGGGAGGGGGAAGACGAGAAAGGATGACGGGGGCTGTCAGGGGTGGTCTGGTCTGCTGATCCACGGCTCCGTGTTGATCCCATGTTCTGTGTGCCCACGATGTGAATTTCCACTACGCAAGTACTCCAACGGTAGGAACGTATTCACGACACTTTCACCAACATTGGAATACGGAAGGTACATACCTGGGACCCACCAGATTTTTGCACACGCGCAATGTGATCTAATGTGATCCATGGCATTCGTGGAAGAGGAAAAAACTTCTGGCCTGGGGAGGTCTGTCCGCCAACGTGCCGCTGGGCACAGAGTGGGCGTGTCCTCAGGTCCTTTGCCCGATCCCCTGATCCTCAGTCCTTACTCCTGAAAAATCTCTTAGGGGCCCGGACCCCAAACTTTCAAATCTCCTGGGGCTTGGCGCGGGCCCACAAGGGCCCCAGGGAGGGCCCCCAGAGGCCCTCAAGACGGCGCCTGAAGGCTCCGAGTCGCCGAAAGATCGTCCCAATACGACCAAGATGGCCTCCGCACAGTCGAGGAGGCCCCAAAGACGCCCCAAGATGCCTCCAAGAGGAGAGGGCTCCAAGAGGCCCAAATCATTAATTTTCCTATGGGGTTTTGAAGGTTCTTGGGTTTCTCGCTTTTTCGGCTTCCCGAAGCTCCAAGACGGCCCAAGAGGTCCCCAAGATCGTCCCAAGACGGTCCAAGAGGCCTCCAAGAGGGCACCAAACTGCCCCAGAGGGCCCCAAGACGGCCCAAAAGGCCTCCAAGACAGCCAAAGAGGACGCATGGCCCAATAGCTTTGGGCCAAACTTTGCCCAAACGTGTGGCCACATAGGCGTATCCTAAAAAGCACGGGGCGGCGGTGATTCGCCGTAGGCGTTTGAGATACACAGAATGCGAGAAGGTAGGGCCATACATGTCAAGAATGTGTCCAATACAAAACCCACTTTGACAGGGAGCTGTGCTCAATTTTTGTACCTGCTGGGCAATTTTACAACTGTGGTCTTTACACTGGAGGAAGTCTCGTGCGATAGCCCCACTTTGAACAATAACCACTTTTTATCCGCGCAACTGCTGCATATGTTCAAAGCTCTACTAATTACAATGGATGACGTCCCAAACGAAAAATCCACAAATAACCGCCCTCCATCCGTGTAGGTGATGCACATTTCGAAAAATGGTTGAATTTGTTGGAGGGAGTCTCAAGCGATTTTTTTTTTTGAATGCGACTGGGCCTTCATCCGTGTGACTTTTGTACACTTTTGAAGTTGTTGAATCTTGGTTGAGGACGTATCTGAACATGAGGCATCATCCGTCCCTGTAACGGTCGCAAGCTTTTCAAACGAATGTACGCGACGCTAAGGCGAGAGCCCCATTTTGAAAAGGAAGCGCCCTCTATCTCTGTATCTGATGCACTTGTTTGAAACGATTGCGCGCGTCGCTACGGCGATATCCCAGTTTTGAAAACTGGTCTCTCTTCATCCCTCCACCTGTGTACTATTAAAAATGTTAAGTTTCAAACTCATAACTTGTGAGGACGCCTCTCAAGCGAAATGCCTGGCCCGCCCTACCGACAGGTCTGGTGGTCAAATGAGGGGGACATACTTATGAAGCAAAGAGATGGGGTGGGGGGGAAGAGGAGAAAGCGGAGGACGAGAAGGAGGAAGAGGATGAGAAGGAGGAGGAGGAGGAGGAGGAGGAGGAGGAGGAGGAGGTGGAACATGACAACGTCAGAGTCGCGGCGTGGTGCTGTTCACAGACGGGCCTCGCGCTTTTTTTGCAAGGCAAGCGGCGAACCAGCATGGAACTGAACGTGCGGCCGTGCATGCGCAGGGGTACGGAACTGGGCCGGCTTCTTGGAAGCCACCGAGGGCGCCCTTCTTAGAGGCCCGCTCCTAGCAATCGCATCCGTCGCGTAATGTTTGGTAAGGGCGTCGAGAACTTTAGTGTAGCTGTCACGTGTAGGGCGCGAGCTGGGCGTAGCTGCCATGAGTATCGCACAACCTAAGTCACCTGACTTCTCACATCGTGCCCCGCGATGCGCGATTATCCTCGCGCCCTCACGCCGCCCCCTTGGAGAAGGGCAGCAGCTCTGGCCCAGACCGCGACGAGCGAAACGCGATTATCTTGGCGCTCCAGCGGGTGACTTAGACAATCGTCCCAACTGGACAACCTGTACCCCAAACGATGACATCTCATTGGGGGCACCTTTTATTTCCGCCAACGGGCCCGCCGTTGTTTTACTTCCGCCGTCTTCTGCCAGTCTTCTACCTCATAAGAGAACTTATCATCTCGATCCGTCGAAGGTGAGGCCATATCTGGAGCACCACGGATGTATAACTGCCCCGTATAGGGCACGAGCAAGGCGTAAGTGCCATGAGTACGGCACAGGCGCCCCAAGCAGGGCGCGAGTGCGACGCGATAAGTAGGAGCGGTCCTCAAGGGGTGCGTGCCTGGAAAAACACCGCGGGCGTGGCCACGACGCAAGCAGATCCCTAGCGCCAGCAGGTTCAGCCCTTGATTTCATCTTTGGCCCACGCACCCTTCTTCCTCTTCCTTTTCCTCTCCCTTCTCGCCTTCTCGTCTTCCTCTGACTCCGAGGATGCGTCGGGGTCTTTATCCAATATCTTCTTCACCTTGGCGGTCGCCAACTCTAACACCCGTTCCTTTGACATCGGAACCTCTGCGCCGAAGAAAATCCACACGGAAAGAACGCTGCTGGGCATTGGAAAGACCTTCACCACAGTGAAAAAAGGGGCCTCCTCCATGTCAAGCGAGAAGTACTCCTGCAAAGCCCTGCACTCCATCAGATCCTTTCGGATCACCTTGAGGTCTGTGCTCGATATGTGGAATGGGATGCCGCTCAAAACGTGATTGTCCTTCACGGGCAGGTACGACCTGGCCTTCTTGAGCGCATCCTTCTTCTTCCAATACTTGCTCCACTCGACTCGGCACTGCTGCATGTACGTCTGCGTGTTCAGCGGGGACGTAGGGCCCCAGGGCTTCCGCAAGCGATCCCCGTCGTCGTAGCACCAGTCCGCTTCCAGCTTCATCTCGGCCTCGAGCAACTCCACGTACTTTTCCAAGCAATCTTGCAAGAGGTCGGCTTCCTCGCTCATCGTCCCAGCGTCCGCAGATTTCCGGTTCCCCGTGAAGCTGCTGTCCTTCCCCTGCCGCATGCGGATCATGCGGACGCTCTCCTCGATCTCCATCTCGATGCTGTCTTCGAGCTCCTGGCAAGTGTGCTTGGACATCGGGGGGCCCACTGGTATCGCCACCGCCTTGCCGACCTGCAGCTCTTTCTCGCCGTCGCCAGAGATGAGGGGCAGCCAGCTCCTGGAGTCGTCCTCCATGTCGTAGTAGATGCAAGCAGGGTGGTGGTTGCCGAGATTGCCCCAGACTTGGCTGCCATTGAAGACGATCTCTATGGACTCGTACGGCACAACCACCAACGACTCGGAATCGTACAGCTGCTTCCAAGGCGAGATGGGCAAGCTCGTCAGGTCGGTCATGCTCTTCAGGAGCTCGTGCCGGTTCATCCCTTGGCGCTTGGCGGTGTCCTTTTTCCACGCCTTCTTGCCTAGGAGAGCGGGAAACACACCGATGCGGCCATCGGACGTCCGAGGACCGTCAGTGCCCCCCCCCCCTGTCCCACGTCCAGCTTGATGTCCCACGCAGTGCTCGGGGCTCCTACTGGGGCTCTCGATGGCTGGAGGGCCCCGCGCGCTGGCCGGGCGTCTCCGGGCCTGCGCTCGGGGTGGCCGCTCGTCGCCGCTCTGTGCGCTGGATGGGTGCTCGGGCCTTTCGCCCCGCGGCCGCCCGTTGCCGTCTCACCTCTGTTGCATCGCACAGATTGCGCCCCACATCTCGCACCGCAGATGTTGCACCCCGTAACATCCACCGTCCAGATTCTCTTTCTGTGCCACATTGCGCTCTGCCTCCGCGCCGAGGCCCGACTTACCCGTCTGGCATTTCGTATTGCTTCCCATCTCTATTCTGCACGGTCTTTCCTTTAAGCAAGTATATGCATATCCGCCATCGTGCCGCTGGGCACGGAGTGGGCGTGTCCTCAGGTCCAAATATCTGCCGACCCAGTCGGCGTGTGTGATACGCTGACGTCGTCTTCGTCGTCGTCGTCACCAGTCCAGTCCCAACCAAGGACATCCAGAGACGAACAGAAAAAAGAAACGTCGCAGAAGAAACGCTGTAGTTAAGTCGATTCCCTCCTCTTTCCCCTCCCTGACGGGGGTCGGAGTGGGGGGGGCAGAAAGGGGGGGCGTAAGGGGGGGGGGGTCCTGGGTCACATTACAGCCCACCCCCGGGTGCCCCGCGGCCCTCCCTCCCTCTCCCAGGCGGTCCTCTTTGTGGACAAAGGGGACAGGGGGGTGGTCCCCCGGTCGGCAGGGGAGCTCAGGACCCCTCCCCCCGCCTCGGCCTCAGCTCTGGCCCCAGTCCTGGCCTGGCCCTTGCCCCCAGCCCTGGTTCCCCCAGTTCTGGCCCTGGCCCCAACCCTTGCCCCCCCCCCCCGCCGGCCCCGTCCTGGCCCTGGCCCCCCGGCCCTGGCCTCGGCCCCAGCTCTGGCCCCAGCCCCAGACCTGGCCGCGGCCCCGGCCCTGGCCCCGGCCCTGGCTCCGGGGCCCTGGAACCCCGGCCCAGCCCCGTCGCCTCCCAGATGCCCGCCCCCGAGGAGACACACGGCTCGCCTCCTCCTCCTCCTCCTCCTCTTCCTCCTCTTCCTCCTTCTCCTCCTCCTCCTCCTCCTCCTCCTCTTTCTCCTCCTTATCTTTCTCCTTATTCCCAACCATCCTGTGGTGTTGGGTCCTCGTTTTGAAGAGGCAGCGCCCCGCGTCCCTCCTTCCTCCAGCTGCCTCCTCCCCCTCCTCCTTCTTCCTCCTCCCACCATCATCATGACACCCCTCACACGTTTCGTGGCCCCACAGGGAGCTCCGCAGAAGTTCCCAGTGGGTGTGCCCGCATGCGTCCCGCACACCCATTTCGGCACAGCCCTCACACGTTTCGTGGCCCCATAGGGAGCTCCGCCGAAGGTCCCAGTGGGTGTGCCCGCGTGCGTCCCGCACACCCATTTCGGCACACCCCTCACACGTTTCGTGGCCCCATAGGGAGCTCCGCCGAAGGTCCCAGTGGGTGTGCCCGCATGCGCCCCGCACACCGTTTCGTGGCCCCATAGGGAGCTCCGCCGAAGGTCCCAATGGGTGTGCCCGCATGCGTCCCGCACACCCATTTCGGCACACCCCTCACAAGTTTCTTGGCCCCAGAGGGAGCTCCGCCGAAGGTCCCAGTGGGTGTGCCCGCATGCGTCCCGCACACTCATTTCGGCACACCCCTCACACGTTTCGTGGCCCCATAGGGAGCTCCACCGAAGGTCCCAGTGGGTGTGCCCGCATGCGTCCCGCACACCCATTTCGGCACACCCCTCACACGTTTCGTGGCCCCATAGGGAGATCCACCGAAGTCTCAATGGGTGTGCCCGCATGCGTCCCGCACGCCCATTTCGGCACACCCCTCACACGTTTCTTGGCCCCATAGGGAGCTCCACCGAAGGTCCCAGTGGGTGTGCCCGCATGCGTCCCGCATACCCATTTCGGCACACCCCTCACACGTTTCTTGGCCCCATAGGGAGACCCACCGAGGGTTCCAGTGGGTGTGCCCGCATGCGTCCCGCACACCCATTTCGGCACACCCCTCACACGTTTCTTGGCCCCATAGGGAGCTCCACCGAAGGTCCCAGTGGGTGTGCCCGCATGCGTCCCGCACACCCATTTCGGCACACCCCGCACAAGTTTCTTGGCCCCATGGGGAGCTCCACCGACGGTCCCAGTGGGTGTGCCCGCATGCGTCCCGCACACCCATCTCGGCACACCCCTCACACGTTTCTTGTCCCCATAGAGAGCTCCACCGAAGGTCCCAGTGGGTGTGCCCGCATGCGTCCCGCACGCCCATTTCGGCACACCCCTCACACGTTCCGTGGCCCCATAGGGAGCTCCGCCGAAGGTCCCAGTGGGTGTGCCCGCATGCGTCCCGCACACTCATTTCGGCACACTCTTCACACGTGTCGTGGCCCCATAAGGAGCTCCAGTGAAGGTCCCAGTGGGTGTTCCCGCATGCGTCCCGCACACCCATTTCGGCACACCCTTACACGGAGCTCCACCGAAGGTCCCAATGGGTGTGCCCACATGCGTCCCGCTGCCGTCGGGGTTCCCAGGGAAGCCCCCTGCAGAGGCTACGCCACACAATTCGGCACACCTTCATACGGTTCGTGGCCCCATAGGGAGCGCCACCGCAGAAGATATTCACAATTGCGGTACTCACAACTGCATATGGTTGGGTCCTTCGCCTGGATAATTCTTCTCCTCCTTATCTTTCTCTTCCTGATCTGTTTCCTCCTTATCTTTCTCCTCCTCCTCCTCCTCCTCCTCCTCCTCCTCCTCCTCCTCCTCCTCCTCCTCCTCCCCCTCCCCCTCCCCCTCCTCTGCCTCCGCCTCCTCTTCCGCCTCCTCCTCCTCCTCCTCCTCCTCCTCCTTCTCCTCCTCCTCCTTCTCCTCCTCCTCCATCCACCGCCCGCCCCATGTTCCGAGCATGTGACAGGGTCATCAACTCGTTGTCGTCGTTGTCGTTGTGGTCGTTGTGGTCGTCCTTCTGGGTCGGCGGCACCGGCCGTAAGGCCTTCACAATATACATATCCGTCACCGTGCCGCTGGGCACGGAGTGGGCGTGCCCTCAAGTCCTTTGCCCTTTTCCCTGAGCCTCAATCAATCCTCAGGTCTGAGGAATCAATTAGTGGCCTCGACCCAAATCTCCGAAATCTCTTGGGGCTTCCCGCGGGGCCTCTGGGCTCCCCCGCATTTTTCCCCAAGACGGGCCAAGACAGTCTCAGGAGGCCCCTGAACACGGTCCAAGAGGGCGTCAAGTCGCCGAACGATCGCCCCAAGAAGTGCAAGATGGCCCCCAAACGGCCCAACAGCCTTGCAAGACGCCCCAAGTGGCCTCCAAGAGGCCTCCCAAGAGGGCCCAAATAAGAAAAATCATTGATTTACTGACGGTTTTGAAGGTTTTTGGCTTTATCGCCTTTTCGGTATCCCGACGCTCCTCCAAGACGGCCCAAGAGGCCCCCAAGACGGCCCAAGAGGGCCCCAAGATGGCCCAGGAGGCCTCCAACACTGTCCACGAGGCTCCCAAGACGGTCCCCGAAGGAGCCCAAGCGATGGAACACGAACCGAAAATCCGAGCCTTCCGCCCCAAGAGGCCCCCAGGAGGCCCCCAGAGGCGCCAAGGAGGCCCTAAGAAGCCCCCAAGAGGCGCCCAGAGACCCCCAAGAGGCCCAAAAGAGGCCCCAAGAGGCTCCATAACGGCCCCCGAAAGGTCTCAAACCTGCCTCCAATAGGCCACCGAGAGGCCTCCCACGAGATCCCAACGAACACCCAATGCCAGCACGGTGACGGGACGGGCCGAAGGCCATTCGATCCGCCGCCCTCTGTTGGCTTGTCACAGGGGTGCCCGGCGTGCTGAACCCTACTGGTTTGGTTTTGGCTTTTTTTCGAAACGAACTCTCCCCTGGGACTTCGGCCCGTCCCGCCGGCCACGCGGAAGAGGTGGCTGCAACAAGCAAATCTGCCGTTTCACTCGAGACATTCTCAAACAACCGCGATGTTGGGGATCCTAGTTCAAGATACCTCATGATATAAATAAGCGTTTCGCTCTTCGGATATTCCAAAATGGCAATTTCGCTGGAGACATCCTCAAACAAATGAAATGCTTCAAAAAAGGAATCGAAGATCATGTCGGAGCGCGCTCGGAAGACCTCCAAGATGCCCCAAGAAGCGACAATATGGAACAACTCATGTTTTTTCAACACTTTTGCTCAATAATCAGCGTTTCGCTCGAGACATTCCCTTAAAATTGCCTTCGGGAGCGCTCTCGGAAGACCTCCAAGATGGCCCTTCCCTTCCCTTCCTCCTCCTCCTCCTCCTCCTCCTCCTCCTTCCCCTCTGCCTCGTCATCCTTGTCCTCCTCTTCCTCCCCCCACTCCTTCTGCTTTTCCTTCTCCCACGCGTGTTCCCCGAATGCCCTCTTGACCAACTCGGGAAACACATGGTTCGATATCTAGGCTAGGCCTCAGCCCCCACGTTTAGCCATATATGCGGTTCAACAAGAGCAGGGGGCGGCGGTGATTCGCCGTAGACGCCTTCGATTTGAATGCAATTCGCAGGAAGCTGGCGTGGCCCCTGGGCCATCCCTGTTAAATCATACCATGCGGGGCACACGCGTTCACATAGCAACTGCACATTGTAAGAATCCGCCTCAAGAAATATCATGCGGGCCACCGGCGCCAGCATGTTAAAATCCTTGAAAAACCAATGGGTCGCAACGGCCTTTTACTAACGCGATCAAACATTGTTCGAAGATGCCAGTGTCCTGTGGGTCGCGCGCTCTCCGGAATCAGAAGGGCACATTTTTGCCGATCTGTCAAATTATACCACGCGATTCACACGCGCGCGCATGTCAGACAAAGTCACCAACCATCGCGCACATATCAGCTCTGTTCAATCATCCATGAGGGCCGCACGCGCGCGTCTCCACGCGCGCATATCAAAATCCTTGCGTCACAATCGGAATCCCTAATGACTTCAATATACAGGCTCATCAGACATACACAGAACTCCTTGTGTTCCAGTGGAATCCTTTCAGATGTCAGTGCGCGCGCACTTCTCCGTCTTCATCCTCAACACCATCGTCATCATCTCATTCGTCGTCATTGCTATCGTAATCATCGCAATGATTATCGTCACGGTCTCCATCGCTATCATCGTCGCCACCACCGTCGTCATCATCGGCATCGTAATCGTCGTCGTCGCCGCCCTCGTTATCAGCGCCACCACCATTACCAATACCATTATCGTCGTAGCCGCCTCTATTATTGTCACCAATATCACGCGTCCGCCCGACTCATGGATCTGCACGAGAAGGGTCCTCTGGTCATTGCGCCAGTGGAGTCTTGTTAAGACGCTCAGGGTGGGAGGGCAGGATAATGGCTCAAGAATGGGAGTTGGCGACTTCAAGCGACTGCAAATTATTCAGACGATAGCTGCACCCATAGCGGAGTGCATGTGTCTTTGAACCCCTGATCGCCTTCTGGAGTGAGAAGGTCGTACCTTGCCGGTCGGGATTTCCACCTCTCCTCGATCCTCTTCCTCGTCTTATCGCCGCGGGTATGGTCTCCCGCCCAGCGCTCGCTCAAATGGAACTTTGCGCCCGTCGTCGACTCCCAGAAGGTCACGGTGCCGTTGAAGGACTCGCGGTGGGCCATCGACGATTCCGCCCCGATGGGCTCCTCCTCCTTCTTCTCCTCCTTCTCCTTCTCCTCCTCCTCCTCCTCCTCCTTGTCCTCCTCCTTCTCCTCCTCCTGCCCCTTTCATTCCTCTTCCCCCCCCCTTCCCCACCTCCCCTTCCGCTTCCCGTCCCCCTTCTCGTCCTTCTCCTTCTGCTGTTCTTCCTCCGCACCACCCAAACTTCTGAACATCCCACACTGCCTCTAATCCCCTCCAAACCCCGAGGGCCCTCGATAAGCATCCGCCTGGTCCTCCCTCGTCCTCTTCCTGCTACTCCTCCTTCCCCCCCCGCCCGCACAACTCCTGAGAAACGCCCAGAAGCTACAAGACCCCCCTTCCGCCTAGAGCTCCCTAGAAATATCTTCTTCTCCTTCTCCTCCTCCCACTTCTCCTCTCCCATCCTCCCCTGCCTCTGCCTTCCTTCCCTCCTCCTCCTCTTCCTCCTTCTCTTCTTCCTCCTCCTCCTCCTCCTCCTCATGCTGCTCCCCCGTTCCTTCTCCTCCTCCTCCTCCTCCTCCTCCTCCTCCATCCCTGTTCCTTGTAACTAACTCCTCCCTGTCGCACCCCGAGATGTGTCGTAAGGGCGGGCCAGGCGTTTAGCCTGAGACTTCCTTACCATTGATAGCCCTTGAGCTTAAAAGTTTGCAAGGAGTTTCACGGATGGAGGGCGGGCGGTTTTCAAAATGTGGCTCTCGCCCCAGCGCCGCGCACATGTGTCTTAAACTATCTGAGAATTCAGCATGAGTTTCACAGATGGAGGGTGGTACCTTTTCAAACTGTTGTTCTGGCCCTAGCGCAGCGCACAGCAATTTCAAGGACTCTTATGTTTGACGGTTATCGTCCTAGAAATGGTATTTTGGTATGACGCGGACTTGTCAGGGCGCAACAATCGGGCAGAGTCGCGGTGCTGAAGTCCCAGGATTTGTGTGTGTGTGTGTGTTGGCATGGGGCACTTCCGTCAATTAATTTTCAACCTAGTAGGGGCCTATGAAGAGGGAACTTGGTGGCAGGGTTTCTGGGAACATCGTTGATGAGTCTTGGGTTTGCACTTGTCTTCCTCCTCCTCCTCCTCCTCCTCCTCCTCCTCGTCGCCATCCAATCCAAAATCGCCCCCGTTCCCCCGATCCCTCCAAGGGTGTGTTCTGGCCATAATCTCGAGGCGGACCTGGCCGCGGCGATGAAAATCTCCCGGAGGCAAAACAAGAACATTCGGAAAATCGGATCGGAATGGAGTCAATTCGGACCGCATCGGCACATAATCGAAACTGAATCGCATGGGATGTGCCAAGGTCCTTAGGTAACTATACAACAACGCCATGCAGACATGGAGCAGCACCGGATCGCCAGAACATCGTTTCACGCAAAGTGCCACTGGTGCCACAACCACATTGCGAATCGAAAGGTCGGTAGGCAACCAGGAACTCGGATCGAATCGGATCGGGTCGGGCAGAATCGATATCGAATCGGATCGACATGGACGAGCTTGCGACGCTTGAACTGGAGGCCGCGCAGATGGGGCCGAAGTAAGTAAGGTCGGTTGGTCGCGCCGCAACGCCGAAGCATCGCCGTTACGTCGGCCATGCATCCGCGACGCCAGCGATGCATCGGCGACATCGGCGTGGACAGAGCCGGGTTCCACTCGAGCCGCACCGTCGACGACCTCGGCGATGCGGCGCGATTCACCGACCCCGTCCGCTTCAACGCCGTGTGTAGAGGAACCCCAAACACATAGACACAATTTCTCGGAGGTCCGCGCGGACCTCTGAGAAGCCCTGCCTCTGCAACTCTTGGCCCCTCGAGGTTTGGGCTGCCCGCCTTCAGCCTCACACCGGCTTCCGGTGCCCGAGGCCGCCTGCGCATGCCCGCCCTCCGTCGAGTCTCGGCGGCCGGGCCTCTCCCCGCCCTTCGCCTCCGCGGCCGCCCTCTGCCTCTCCGCACGCCCTACTGCGCCCTGTGCCCGGCGCGGCCCGCCGGCTCTGCCCAGGCGCGCTTGCGACCGCAACGGGGAGGGGACAAAACGTGGAGCCCCTTCGCTGTCGGCCCCGTGCTCGCACCCCCCCCCCGTCGTTCCCCCCGGGCTCAGAGCTGGCGTCCGGCCTGTGCTCCCGAATGCCCAGGGCCTACCTTTAACAGAAGGGGGGAAAGGGGGGGAAGGGAGCCAAGGGCTCCACTCTGTTGTCTATCTGCGGCGGTTCTGCCGGCAGAAGCTTGGGCGGCCCAGGTGGGCCGCCGGCGGCGGCGCGGGCCTCGCGGGTCATCACCCACGCGTGGTCCCTGCCGCCCTGCACAGTGCCCTGCGCGCGGGGGCGGCCGAGGGATTGCCGCGCCGCGGCGCCCGCGCCGCGCAGCTCCCCCCCCCCCGTGGCGGAGGAGGGCGAGGAGGGAGCGGAGCGAGGAGTGAGCGGGGCGAGGGGGGAGGGAGGAGGGGAGCGAGCAGGGACGGATGGGGGAGGAGCGGGCGGAGGGAGGACAAGCCAGGTGCGCTCGCGCCCTATCTGACATCCTATCCCTCCCACCCATCCCCTCCCGCTGCGCTGTTTTCCCTATCCACCGACGCGCGTCATAGCGGACCTGGAATTCATGAGACAGGACCCCATTGTGTTATATACAATCGGGAAAAGGAGAGCTGCGTACATTGGAGGAAGAGGTGGCAGATGAGCAGGAGGATGAGCAGGTGGAAGAGGAGGAGGATCAAGAAGGAGGAGGACGAGGACGAGCAGCAACACCAGTAGCAGCAACAGCAGCAGGAGCTGGAGTGGAAGGAACGGGCTTATTTTTAACATCAACGCGCCTGCCAAGATGTGCAACAAGGAAGACGGCGTCCCCTCCCTGAGGGGTCAGCAGGGTGCCCGGGTCCGCTCCACCGCCACACGGGAGGCTTACAAACCCAAGACCCTCCGACCACGGGGGGCCAGGCCTGTACCTGACCAGCCATGGACCCCCGACCGCGTGGAGGAACACGTGGAGCGCGGCCAACACCACGAACTCCTCCATGCCGTGGGTCACGAAGAGCCCCTGCGGCCGGGTAAATGCGCAAGCGCCCGCCGCGCGTGCTTCCGCACGTCCACGGCGCCGGGCCCGCCGCCACCGCCGGTGCACTCGCCCCCCTCGCGCTCCGCGATGAGGCGGGCCGTCGTCTCGACCATGCGGCGGAGCGTCGCGACGTCGGCGTGCGAGAGGCGCTCCCGCTCGCAGGGCAAGCCGAAATTCCGCACCAGGCGGAGCCTGTCCGACTCCGTGTCCTTGTCCTTGCCCGCACCTCCCTGGCCCGAGCACTCGCCCCCGCCGCCACCACGGCCTGTGCCACCCGCCGAGCGTCCGCGCCGCACCACGGGCAGCTCGTCCGCCCAGTCGTCGGGCGGCAGCGGATCCGGAGACGCGACGGGCACCGTCGCCGCGCTCGCACCCGCCCCGACGCCGACCCCGAGCACGTCCGGATCCGGCCCTCTCCCGCGGGCCCGCCAGAGCCCGCCGCGCCGCCGCGCCCGCGAGGACGTCGCCGCCGCCGAGGGGCAGCGACGGGCACCTCCTGCGCAACCGCTGCGCCGCTCGCGGTTCCCGCCCTTTTGAAGCCCAGCCGCCGCGTGCGTCGCCGGGAGAGCACCGCGCACGGCCTCCTGCGGCGCCCTCTCTTGGCGGGAGGGTTTTTCGTTCTGAACATGAGGCCCATGCTGCGGCGGGAACGCCACCTTGGAACACCGACATCGACCAGATTGCAACGCGCCATATGAAACACCAACAACTGGATTCCTGTAAAGAACAATACGCGGAGAAGGCCGAATGCCTTTTAGACAGAGTCAGCGGAGAGAGGAGAGTAGTAGCCATACCGTGTACTTGTGCAGGTGGGAGCGAGGAGGGAGGGAGGAGGGAGTGAAGGAGGAGGAATGGGGAAAGAGGTTCGAGGTTCCGTATTTGATTCGTATGATTGAGGTTCGACTCTTTCTATGTCTCTTGGGAAGCTTCTCGTCGTGAGGGCTGGGTACCCATCGAACTTCTGGTAAAAACTCATGTCTGACAAAGGAGAAGATCGATGAAGGGGGGGCTGGGCCGTTGGAAATCGATCTGGGATGAGGGGCCAGCCAAGCTGAACCCCAGGAACAATTCGGGGACCGAGTTTGAGCGGGGCTCGGCCGGGCTGAGGAGGAGGAGCGGGAGGAGCGGGCGGACCAACGTGGACCCAGGATGCGCCACTGATCTGCAGCACGCGCTCCCGTCCCAAGGTCCCCTCCGCATCATTCCCGGCAAGCAGTCCCCTTCACAGCGGGAGACGCCCCCGTGAGAAGAGAACGCCCCACGGGCCTGCCATTCAGCCGGGAGCACCGTTTTGCAAATGAACGTCTTGTCATCCTGGACAAGTGCAGTTGCCAGCGCGTAGGACCATACCGTTCAAGCACAAGTTAATCAATACCACAGTGTTGAAAAAAAAGGCGTAGCCCTTTGTTCGTGCACCCACGTATCATCATGCTTTCTGACATGCTGACTCAGAAGCACTGTCAAGCGACAGCGCAACGGTTATCAATCCGCTCCAATTTGGGGTATCGCTCTTCATGCTTTTAGTCGGTGAGGGCGTCCCAAGCGAACCACCAACTGAGAAGAAACTTCGAAATAATATTGTTGTTGAGAAAGAAGAAGATGGAGATGTGACGGGGGCATGATGAGTGGAAGGGTGATACGGAAAATGAGGATCATGAGGACGAGAAGGTAGAGGAGGAGGAGGAGGAGGAGGAGGAGGAAGTGGAGGAGAAGAAGGAGGAAGAGGATGAGAAATGGAAGTGGGTTGCGAGAAGGAGGATCAGGAGGGTGGGCATGGGAACGGGAACGACGAGGAGGAGGAGCAGGAGGAAGAGGAGCAGGTGGAGGAGGAGGAGGAGAAGAAGGTGGAGGAGGAGCAGGATGAGGAGCAGGAGGAGGATGAGGAGAAGAAGGAAGAGAAAGAGAACGAGACAGAGGAAGAGAAAGAGGAGGAGGAGAAGGAGGAGGACTCTGAATAATTCTGAACATCGTCATGTGAGAGGGAAGGTTGTTGACATGATGCAAGTTGTAGAACAGAGAGGATGTGTGTACTGTAATGCACCTCGGCTAAATGACTAAAAAGTCGAATTTGGTAGCGTGACATATGTATGCTACGATCCGAAGAACCCTCAACATCCCTTTCCATATCCTTCCGGCCAACCATAGCGTTCGTCGGCCTAGTCCCGCTCCTTGGGGCCTGGTTGCTCAACCTTGCTGGCTGGAGCGACGGCGTTGCCGAGTTCGTGGAGGCAAACGGCTGGAACACGTTCTACGCCCAAATCTTCTACGACACCCCTCGGACCGGTCATGTCAGAGCTCAAGTTTTGTACGAAAACAACAACTTAGACATCATGGCAGAGGCCGCCGCAAAGGCCGGTGGACATGACAACGCTCGTCTTCCTCTCGATTCATTCACGCAAAGCAGCCCGCCAGGCTGGGTCACTGGGATCAAGCGTTACCCGATCAGGATGTACGCGCAGCTATTGAAGCTCTGGTGGCTCCAGTCCGATCTAGATGAAGATCAATGGGGCCCAGCAATATGTGGACGCTTGAAAGGACATGTCTTGCAGTCTGCGATGAACTTGCGCAGTCAGAGGCTCGATGTCAACACGGGTCAATTCAAGATGATCGAAGCGCCGGAGCTCTTCGCTGAACCAGCTACCACTGAGGGCCCTGGAGTACCAGCACAAGAGAGTGGAGCCAAGTTCCTGGTGCGACGCATCGTTGAAGAATACACGACGGACAGACAAGATCTACAGTGGGAAGTTCTTACAGTATTCTTTGAACTCTTGAGAGGCAACAGCAAGTTTGGAGATTCTTATCACTCTATGATTTGGCACTCTCGGACGCAGAAGCTCAATGTGGATTGCAGATGAATGATGTTGGCAAGACCTACTTTCTTCTTCGAGGCGCGCAGCTCACCGAACGGCAACACTTTGACCTAAGTCTACGAATTAACGGAGATCTCTCAAGATATAACGGTATCCGACGGCTGTGCACGCGCATGTTCGGTGACCATGACGCGGCCAAATCTTCGACCTTACACGACATGACAGGAGTTTAGCATACGTCAGGAGACGCTTCTTGGTATGGTGACAGCTCTTGGTACGATGATTCAGCAGATTGGCAGTGGTATGACGACGATTCTTGGCAAGAGGAGACCTACAGGGGAGAGCAAGGCTGGCGACTCCTCAGAACAAGAAGCAGCTCAACATGATTCTCAGGAGGCTGGCGAGTTCTGGGGTAAAGGAGGTAATCAACACAGCCAACGCAAAGATGGTTGCACGAAGTGTGGATCAACATGGCATTCAAGTGCATATTGTCCTCTTCCTGGTGGTAGCTCCAATCATAATCAAGATCATCCAGCACCAAGCGGAAAAGGCAAGCGGGCAAAAGCGGTAAGAGTAAAGGCAAAGACAAATGCACGAACAACTACAACAACAACAACGGAAAGAAAGGCAGTTATCGGAAAGGCAAAGGCAATAATCTATCTTCGAGTTCAAAAGGATATCGCAAAGGCAAGAGCAGCTCAAAAGGTTATCGCAGCAGTGGCAAAGGCAAAGGTTTTCGATACCGCAGTGGAGGCAGCTTTCTTCTCGAAGATGGACCAGCTGAAGTTGATCACGAATACTACGGTGAGGACGATGGCGATATCACTTCATGGTACGAAGGCGAAGGAGTGTATGGCATGTGAAACAGTCTACAGGATGGCTCTCTCGCGTAGCATCCATATGCGAGTGGAACGATGACAGCATTCGAGACAAATGATTCCTGGCAGACCATCGGCAGCAACAGCGAACCGACACCTCCACGCGACGAACATCATGAAGAATCACAACCTCGGCAGTGGTCTGGTCTTGTACCTAACGACTATCTATCGCCCCGACGGAGTTCGACAACAGCAGCCTCCAGTGCACCCGGAACCGCATCACAATTGCTTCCTGAATTTAACTTTGATAGTTTGTTGGCACGACGTCAGCGTCTGCAAGACCTTGGGATCAACGACCCTGAGGACCTGGAAGCACAGGAGACTCGATCGACAATTTCAGCTACTACCCGCACGACGAGAGCTGAAGTGGGCTGGTCAGGACAGCACTGTTCACGGCTACCACGTTCTCGGTTTTCGCCGCCCACGAACAGGTAATTCTGCCAGTGAACCCGACGACCCAGGACCTGTGGCAGCCCAAGGCTCGCACTCACGTCTCGGGCTACCAGAACTTCCATCTGATTCGGGGGCGCCCTATGC